GCAGCTTCAAATATCCCCTTTATCCCCTTTTGGAAGAATTTCTAGGACCGGCGCTGCTTTTATGCTCTCTAATCAAACATATTAACTTGAATTACATACATACATATGTATCTACAACACAATAATTCAATTCCTTATTTATATACAGTATGTATTACCGTGTACCGGCGCGCACAATCCAGAAATCCCTTTTACATATTTACTTACCTTCTTACTATACATAGACGCGCCATTGCATGAGACTGACCTAATTAAATATTCTGCCATGAAGATTTCCGATTTTCACCGGTACCATGACCTATGTATCCGACACATATATACATAAACATATTGCGCCTGCCGCACTCGGATACAGAAAATCTAACAGCACCCTCCAATAATCACAACAAATACACCCGGCGCCATCACTTCACCACTCCAAACCAATAGACTCGCCTACTCCGCGCGCTCCGAAGTCAGCATTCACCTACTTTTGAGAATTGGCGGCACGATTCAAATTGGATTATCCGATGTAAGCATGCAAAATGTGTACACACCACAAACACTCACACATCCTTACAAAACATGCAAGATGATGTGCGGCGAATGCCGAGTGCCGAATGCCGAACAACGAATGCCAATGAAAGTATGGTCATGTGGTACAATGTGCAATCGCATTGCTATTGTTGTTGGTTTCTGTTGTTTGTGTTGCTGTTGTTGATACTGAAAGCGATAGTGATAGTGACAGTGGTGTTGGCATTAGCTAATAATTGCACTGCCTGCTGTGGCCACTCGAGCGGCAAGCGCGCTAAGCTCCTCATACCCGCGGCGCTTTCCAATGCTTTCGTTGCCACACACATACACACACACGCTCAGCCATAAATGCATATAATTGTCGCTGCTGTAGCATGTTGGCGCACTGGTGTGACGATGAGACGACGACGCGGCATTAGATGTTGCCTTTGGTGTGGTGCATTTGCGGCCTATGTCGTTGTGTCCCAGTTTCCATTCTGTCCTTGACCTACTCCACTCGAAAGCGAAAACACGCTACACAGCGTTGTGCTTCGTAATCGCGCAATCGTGTAATCGCATTCGCTGCACGCTTTTGCTGCGCTCACCAGCGTAGGAAAGTTGTGGTCGCTCATCACAAAGTCCACAAGCCAACGCTTGAAGAATCCATCGCTTACAAGTTATGGTTGCGAGCGCTTGCCGCTTGTACGTGGAGAGCGCTGCAATATTGGCGCGTGACTTCGCTCTTCATTTGCGCGGAGCCACCGCACTGCTAAAGAGCTGAATGTGAGTAATACATACATATGTAGCTTTATATTGCAACATCACTGTATGGATTGGACACAGTTTTTGTTTTCTTCAACGCTTTTTGCAAAGCGCATGAGTGGCATTAGAAAAGCTTTGAGCGCCAAGCGCTCTCAATTTCTGGAGTAAAATGCGGGGCCGGCTGTAGCGCCGACGTCCGCACAATTGGCGCTTGTATGATGTATGCTTTTGTCAGCTCAGCTTTTTATTTCGCATGCCGCCTAGCTCCCATATACACGCGCATTTCCGTTCCAACTGCTACGCGTGTGTGTTTGTTTCGTTTTCGCTTTCAATGGTTTATCATACATACAACTTTGTATGCGCGCATTTGCTTATGTGTGTGTGTGTGTGTGTGTGAGCAAAGCATATACGTATACGTGGAATATTTGTAAACAATATGCTTGACCTAAATTACAGTTTCTTGTTTGAGTGCAAAAGAAATACGAAATACGTACGAACGTCGGCAGCAAACGGCGACCAACCGAAATGAGTAGAAGTAAAAAGCTTTAGTTTTTTCAGCGATTTTCTTTTATTTCACGGAATCTAGTGTTGGTGGTGGTGCTGGCTGGTTGGTTGGTCGGCTGGTAGGCCATCATCTCCCTCCCAACAACCGCTAAGTGCAGTTTAGACTGCAGTAACGTTTGCATCATCATGGATTGGTGTCACCTACACTTTACCCCCACGCATCCCCCACCCCGCTTTGCTGCTGCCATAGTGCAGTTGGACGCCTGATTATATTTTATTTGTTTGTATTCTTGTCCTTATTTCGCGAAAGCAGGCCAAATGAATTTGAAATAGGAAAAATATATTGCAAAGCGCAGTATTCAAGTGGGTTTTTAGAAATAAATACACACATACGTACATATATAGATGTGTAACTTAAAGTTTTTGAGTGAATTTATGAGCCATCCTTCGTCATATTTTTTGAAAAACTCAAGTCAAAAATCAATATTTCCAACCTTAAAGTCAAAGCAGCTAATTCTGATTATATATACTGCATACTTACAGGCGCATAAGTAGTTCTGGTTGAGAACCATAACCCATTTCGCTGACGGCAATTGCTTGAAATAATAGAGATATGAGAGAGGCAGCTATGCATGGATTTTTTGTATATGCTAAAAATGAACAATTTCATTTATTTTTATTAAAAAACCCACGAAAGATAATATAATAAAAGCAGTAAATGAGAAATAATAATTTAGAAAAAAAAATCTAAAAGAATTTTAAAACTAAAAATGAACATTTGAGAGAATTTGTTATTTATAATTAATTTAAAAAAATATAATTTTAAAAATTAAATATCAAGCAATACTCGTAATTTCTATTTAACAACAATGTTGCCACATAATTATCAATATACAAAAGTATATTAAAATAATTTCAAACTTTTAAACCAAAAACAATAACAATATATGTATGTACAATATTTGCCTTTTGAGCAATAAAGTTGCCACTTAATAATATAAAATTTAAAATTAATAAATTTACCTATTCTAAGTTTTAAACTAAAAATCTTTAAAAAATATTGACATTGTTTGCCACATATACAATTAGAAAGTGTAAAAAATGCATTTTGTGCTATTAAGTGGTTATATACAGTTAGAAGGACGAAAAAGAGCGATTTTTCGAGACTTTTTCTGAGAAAACTTTTAAATTTATTGATCCAAATTTGTATCATGGTATCCTTTAATATATTTTTAGAGTGGGTATTAGTAAAAAAAATTTTATATGGAAAGTGTAACAAATTCACATACTGTGGCAACTACTAGAAATAAAAAAAAAAACAAGAAAAAAAACCATTATCCAATTGCCTTAGGTAAAGAATCCATTTTGGGTACATTTGGTTTTGTAAGATTTGCACTCGCTTATTTTTAAATCTTCATTTTCATTTTATAAAAATCGGAAAACAGGAAACAAAATAGCTGAAATCTTTGACAAGACAGTTTTGTTTTAAAAAATGAGAATGTATCGAAGTAAACAGAAAGGTAAATGTCGAAAACATATGTTATATATCAATAGAATGTTTTTGATAAGCTTTCCTTTAAAAATTTCCAGTCGACAATCCTTCTTTTAGAACTAGTAGTTATCCGCCGTCAAGTGAAGATCGCATCAACTTTAATACCATCATTTTTTGATGCTTGTCTCTAACATAGTTTCCAAAATTATTCGGCCATAGTTTAACTTCATACTCAATTTTTTTTTATTGCTGGGTTAATGCATATAATAGAATATACCTAAATGTATTTTTCTCTCCAATGAAGTAATATCCAATCAGGTGGTTCATGGGAGAGATATGATTTGAGAGTAGGTTCGGTAAGGATTAAAGCTCCACACTCCAACTTTTGATCCTTTTCCACGAAATTTTCGACTTTCAACGAAAAAATTTTCAAACTTAAAATTCGAGAACATTTATAACCTTGATATAAATTATACCTTTCATTATTTTCTGTATTTGAAGACCATCAAATGTTCCAACTTTCATCTTTGTCATACTAATTTAGGAATTTTTTTCAAATGTCACAATAACAATATCCATCAATATCAATCCTAATTTGATCATGGATTGAATCCCTGAATTCATTTGCAGAAAATAACTTTTATTTCACTATCTTTTTCACAACCATTGTCAGACTGTACTGAGAGATGGCTATTTGGCAAGTAGTCTAAGCAAATTACTTTTGAAACGGAAGCAAGATTTTTATTAAGAAAACAGGGTATTTTGTAGACTGTAATTCTAGATACATATATCCACGTTGGATTTTTAATAATACCTTAAACTTTTCGAGTAGTTTTTCTCATATTTTCAGTGAGGAGTCTGAGGGCGGTTATCACGTGCTGTTTGTATGCGATAACAGTGCACAGAACCTTAATCATGAGTGGAAAACTAAATTTTTATTACTAATAAATAATAGCAAAAATATATTATATGCAATTATCAGAAAAACAAGAGCATATTCAACATTGTCATTAATAAGGTCGCAAGATACACACTTGAAAGCATTAAAATTTGCTGAAAACCCAGGACAACAAATATTTTTTTCGCTTTTATAGAGCTGTACTATCAAAAAATTTGGAAGCATTAATAAATGGTATTTTTAGCAGGTACCTTATAACGACATTCTTGTCTTTCCGCACCATTCGAACTCACGAGTTCGGTTCTACTATATCGGAACGGACCTGAATATTAATTAGGCCAAGGTCTGTGTACCGGTTATTAGGTCTCCCTCCGTTATGACAACAACAACCATTTGAACAAATACCGTATTTTTTAGCACGAAAAAATTGAAAATTATCACAGCCGGCATTAACGCGGGTTTTCAACATCTGGCTCACATATTTTAATTTAAACAAAGAGCACAACATTTTAGAAATAGGGCTTTGGGTCGAAATTTGTTTTCGATTTTTACTTTTATCATTTTTTTGGCGAATATATATGGGGTATTGGTTGAAATTAAAAATTACATAGGTTGTTGGTTGAAGACAAGTCAACTATTTTCTATTGATTACAAAAGAGACTTTAATACATTATATAGTATCTAAGAATAACGTCGGTCAAAACACCACATACGCTCTCCAAAACGTTGTAATAGCTGTTTTCAATAATTCTGTATGAGTGCGATTATAACTTTAAATTCCAACCTCAAAATTTTTTACGAAAGTACCAAATTATTACACACTCTTGCGTTATTTTCTTATTTCTTTCACAGCCGTGCGAGCGGATCGGATGCGTGGTGGTCGCAATAAGTTCGGCCCTATGTACAAACGTGATCGGGCGCGAAAGCTACAAGTCATGCGGCAGCGGCAACTTGCCCTCCAAGCGCTGCGTACATCCATTGGTTCGGTTGAGATGAAGTCGTCGCCACTCTCGCCGGGATACCAACAACCATATCCGAATATGAATATAAAGCAAGAAATTCAAATACCTCAGGTAAAGACAACTACAAAAACACCAACAAATAAAACAATATATATTTAATACCAACACTAATAATAACAATAATTTTCTTCGCCTCCGAATAGGTGTCCTCACTCACGCAGTCACCGGATTCATCGCCCAGCCCCATCGCCATCGCGCTCGGACAGGTCAACACGAGCGGCGGTGTGATATCGACGCCCATGAATGGCGGCAACGGCAGCGGCGGTGGCGGAGGAGGAGGCGCTGGTGGCGGCGGTGGCAGCGGCAATGGCGGCAACACCAGCACCAACAGCAACAATAGCAATAACACCAGCAGCGATGGACTCAACCGCAGTGGCAGCGGCAATTGCCATGACACTGGAACTGGATCTCTGCAGAATGCGTCCGAGTCGAAAATGTGGTATATGCTTTACTGTCTTACCAAATGCTATCTTTAATTAACATAAACTATTGTTCACACACACACACACATACCAACAATTGTGTGTGTCGCGTCGTTTATGCATAAATCTCATGACTTCATATCTTCTTATCCCCATATATGTGTGTGCTTGCTTCGATTGAGCGGTGCTGCGCCCGTGTTGTTCTTGAAACTAAAATTTGCCATGCACAAAATCGTAAGCAGTTCAAATATTGTGGAGAGGTACCGCTAGGTTGGATTAAACTGAGATTTTTATAACGTGAAATTCGTTCGAAAAAGTTTTGCTCGTGAAAAAACTCTTTAATAAAAATGGCTTTTTAAATGTTTTTGACAAATTTTCTACAGTATCGGTTTTGAGAGACTACTAGTGATATTATATATCCTTTATTATATCTTTTCAGAAATTATATTAAATTATTTCATTTTGTTTCAGTTATATAACCGAATTCAAATAAGTTGCGTTTCTCTGATTTATTTATTATTTTACTTATTATTTCTAACAAAAACAAAAGGAAATATTTTTATTTTTCGTTAT